TACTAAGTTTAAAATGTAAATATTAGTTTCGTTAGGCTTATTAGCATTTAAGGAACTTTAAATTGTTGATAATCAACAGCTGCACGCAAATTAACTAAAGGCATAAAAACTGTAACGGAACCTAAGAGCAGCATAATTCACTCATTTTTAAGACGAAAAGTTTCCAATTTACCAACATATACGAATAAAAATCCTGAACTAATAGAGCCGAGTAAGACAGTGGGTAGATATATATTTATATACTTTTGGTTGTGGCGGATTGCAACCAGAGAGGCTACCATGTTATAGCAGTCCTATATACAAAATTTCAACCTTCTGAGGCTACTCGTTTCTGAGTTATGCGAGATACATGCATACGTACGTAGGTGCAGATGGTCACAGAAAAACTCTTCTGATTCTATGTTAAATCCATTTTACAAGCTGTTTTGTAAAACAGAGTCCTTTATTCTATTTTCTGACTTGATTCTGATAGACGTCTCGAAATAATCTCTTCTGAATCCATTGTAAGTCTATTTCTAAACTGTTTTGCGAAAAAGAGGCCTTTATTTAGTCCGTACAAAGAGATATCAAGCAAAAGCATCGTTGAAATGAATTCAAGAGCGGTCAAAATGGATATTTTCCTTGAAAACTGAAAACCGAAAGATTTCGCGATTACAATTTTCTTTACTTTGTACAAGGAAGTAAAAAGAATACTTTATAAATAATTAAATGACGCACATCATTGCAAAGGAAAAATTTCGGTTATAAATAGAATTAAAGAAGAATATTTAGAAAAGTGTTTAGTGTCACTGAGTACAGGCTCTCGTAAAAACATCGCGTAGAACTTTAGCGTTTTTTGGCAACCTTTTTAAATGGTAATATTATTTTGAAAATGATTTAATAATATTTATATAATTCAATTTTAATAATTATTAATATTTATATATTGTTAAATTGCATTTATGTTATAGATAGAAACGATTCCCAGATACTGCGAGGACATCTTGTATCACAGCTATTATCCCCACATTTTATTTATTTATTTATTTATTTATTTGTTTGCTTTCTCTATTTTATATGAACAGTTTTGTTTTACGCTGATGACTTGTGATGATAGTTTTTCCCGTCATAGCGCAATAAACAAGCTTAACATTTTTCTCAGAGACCACCCTGTTAATCCGCAACCCGGTGTTTCATTTCCTTTAAATCGCAAGTTCAGTGTAATATACACTGGTGTGTAAAAATTAAGGACGAGACGGTTTTTTCAATATAACTTTGTACAAAAGCTTTCCAAATCAACACATTTAATACCGTAAAATCCCCAATACGTAAGGACATGAGTAATGTAAGCAACACTTACTAAAAGAGAAATCAGAGGGATAAAAAGAAGCTTTTATTGAAAAAAAAAAGTAGCATGGAGCGCAATGCGACTGAAGGCCGCGAAACATCCCTGTGATGGGTGTCCAGCAGAAAGAAAACATCCGGTCTTTAATAGGGGATATGATCTCCCCTGACTGCTAGGCAGGTTTCACAGCGTCTGCCCATGCTGAGAATGAGGGTGTCATTGAGTTGTTGAGGCATTGCTGCCCATTCGTCTTGCAGCGCCAATCGAAGCTCCGCAATCGTTACTGGTGGTAAGGTACGAGCTGCCAAGCGTCTGCCTAGAAAATCCCATACATGTTCGATGGGATTGAGATCCGGAGATCGTGCCGGCCAATCCATACGTTCAATATCCTCACTCTCTAAGAGCTGTTCGGCAGCTACTGTGCGATGACATGGTGCAATGTCGTCCATGAAAAGGAACTGCGGACTCATGGCGCCTCTAAAAAAGACGCACATTTGGAAGAAGAATCTCGTTACAATAACGGGACCCGTTGACTGAACCTGCGTCGGAGATGTGAAGGTCTGTACGACTACCGAGCATGATGCCTCCCCGAACGAGAACACCGCCACCTCCATACCTGTCCCTTTCAATGATGTTCGAGGGATGATTGCGGCTTCCCCGTTCTCTACAGATGAGTATGCGATGAGAATCGCTACTCAGACTGAATCTGCTCTCATCTGTAAAGAGTACTCGTCCCCATTCATTGTCTCTCCAATTCCGGTGTTCCCGGCACCACAGAGAACCCTTTCTTCGATGGGCAGGCATTAGAGGTACACACCGTACAGGGCGTCGTGCAAACAGACCACCACCGTGCAGTCTTCTGGCCACGGTAAAACGCGATATCGGTCGTCCAGTCGCCTGTGTCGTGTGTCTAGCGATTTCTCCCGCTGTCTGTCGCATGTTTTTTCTGGCCTGTAAGGCAATAGACCGGTCATCTGCGGGCGTGGTTCCTCGTGGACGATCACTACTAAACCCCCGGATAGCTGTTCCTGTAGTTTGAAATTGTCTCCAAAGTCGTGAAACGATGCTGTGAGCAATTCCGAACTCTGCAGCCACACTTGTCACACTGCGGCCTTCCTCCAACTTCCCAAAGTCTCGACCTCGGGTAAAAGCATCCAGATGTCGTCTAACAGATTAATTATCCGCCATTTCTCGCTGAGGCAGCAACTCGGTGTGATTTTAACTGCTATACGGCGTGCAATCTCTTTGCCAGAAATACTGATCTTACACCGACAACATGCTTTCTACTACTCAGACACTCCCCCATTACGTCTACCTGCATATCTGCGCATGTGCCTGTACATCACCTTACTTAATCTTCCGATTGGTCTTTCTGTCCGCTCTGCCTCTTCGTTCAGCTGATATGCTAATTTTTCGACTTCGTCCTTAATTTTTGCACACCAGTGTGTTTTTACACATTTCTGAATCAAAATTTTGAAGTTGATTAATTTGCATTAGCTTTATAAGAAATAAACATAATCTAAAATGTCATAGATTCACGTAAACAAACAATACGAAGCATATAATGCACGGAATTTTTCTTATCACTTCTTTATCACTTACGTTTACCTCTTATTAATTAATTTAGTAGTGTGCTTAGTTTCAATATATTCCATTCATTATGTATTGGAAATATATTTCATCTTAAAATTCTACTATTTGCTTTTAAGTTTATAAGCTACTAATCAGTATAAAACTGCCCATCTTAAAAAATAACATTAAAGAAAATTACTTCTCTCTGAAAAAAAAAAATTATAGACGAAACCAAATCTGGATATTAATCCCATATGTACCATTTAACAATAAAAAAAATGTTCTCTAAAAAAATTACGTGACAAAAAAAAATGCCCATATATGGCTCCAGATTTTGACATATGATTTATCTGTACGAAAGTATAGGACTGCATTATAAATAATACTATTTTTAATTCATCAAAAGCATTTCGTATCTCTCACGAAAGTTTCAAAGTTGTTTTCAATTTTGTATTGTTACATGAACATTTTGCTGGAACGTAATCCCTGGTTACGTAAAGATATGAAATTTTTAAAATTTTCTTGACAGCATTATTTGCCGAGAGAAATATCATTACATTTCCTGTCAAATAATATTAGCATTTTGAAAAATGAAAAATCCCAGTCTGAGACAACTACCGCTTTGTTTGTCCGTTATAATTAGCAATTCGCTTACTTACTGTTATTTTTCTTTCAGATTTTCGTATCTGGAATGCTAAATATCGCGTGCACGGAAATTAATGCAATTTCCTGAAAGCATGTATAATAATCCTAATGAAAGCCTGCGACTTTTACATTTTATTAAAAAAAATGTGCTTATTCTTTTAATTAACAAAGGAATGCATCGTATCGTATATCAACTTGTTCTGTTATTTGTTTCGAACTCTCTATTTTGCATTTCTGATAGCTGTTGCTGCACAAGAATTATGAGAATTCCGCTCCGTCCTATCAGAGTAATAATAAGAGAGCAAATCAGATTTTTCAATGTTCTGAAATATGCACTGTTTAAATTTTTTTTGCTTACTACTTGCAATATCGGGACTATAGATATGAGTTTAGTTTTTGCTCTTCTGTACTGAATTTATTAGTAATTCGTATATCTTCAATAAGTGGAGAATGCGGCTTATATGGGTACACAAAAGAAACGGATAATTTGCTTGTATAATTTGTATTTCCAGATGTATTGATTTACTGATGATGTTATTAATATGCATTTACTGCAGTTCAAGCAAAGACATATTGTTTTCTAATTTCGCTTATGAGATATATCTTCCACCTTCCTAGCGTACCTTCGTCGTGTACTGGGATACACTGAGTCGGGATTTCAGAGTTCCGTGGTTCGATTCCCATCGAAGGCGATTGCTAATTTTCCACCTGTCTGCTTCCATAAAAATGCCTAATGTCTCTACCCGCTTACTTTATTTCAAAGAAAATTACATAATTAAAAAAAATAATAATATTTCCTCAGAGTAAAATGCATTTTTTTTTTCAATAAAATTTATTTTGAATGTTCACAGGATACAAACATTTCAACTTAAAGAAAACAACTGAAATTAATTTTATTGGGCTGCGAAACTGAAATTTGCTTGTGACTAAAATTTGAACACTCTATTTTTAATTTTATAAGCATTAACAGTAGTCAGCAAATCTAGCAGATTTTTTTAAAACTAATGAAACAGTAATGTTGAAGGAAATTATTTAATATAAATATTTTATTCAAAGCAATTAATATGATTATTCGATCTTTAATTTTCAAATACTTTTAATGAGATATTTTATATTTTAAGCTGCTGGGACGATTTTAATTTTAAACTCTAAGTTTTAATTAATTAGCGATAAATTTAGTAAAACTAACACATCATCATGCAAAATACCAGCTTAGTTTATGCAGAATTTATGAAGATCAAGGGCTATATATAACTAAACCGAATCAAAATATAATTGCTTACTGAATTTTTAAAATATAAACTCATGCATTCATACATTAGCCACTACTAAATATAAAATCTTTTATTATTGCTAAATGTTATCATTTCTAAACTGAATATAAAAATCTTATCCAAAAACAGTTAAAAGCTCTTAAATTATCAAAAATATTATTATATTAAAAATGCAACGTACTTACCTTTTAAGGAACCAGATGTGTTGATTTTATTGTGCTCCGATTCGCAAGCTGATGGGGAAAAATATAATCAAATTCAGACAGCAAAAACCAAAATCGGATGAGCTAAATAATAATACATTAGCAAAAAATTTATTTTTAATCTTAGATTTTATTAACCGCTATAAAATGTACATTCGTAAATTACAGTGTTATTCTTTTAAACAAAAGTTGGGTAAAAGTTTACAATTGGGTGCCCCTTGTTTTTTGGCGATTCTTTTTTGACGCAAAAATTGGCTCAAAGAAGGCACGATTTCAAGATGGCCGCTACACAAAACCAAAAAAAGAAGTCAAAGAATTGCACAAACGCTGTGTCCATGTACACATCGATCTGCTTTCACTTAAAAATGTATCCCAGAATTGCACAAACTAGCCATAGCTCACTGCCTTAAATTTGTCCATTTACACATAACAATCTATTTTCCTTTAAACAAATCGGAAAGCTAAAACAAAGTTAAAACTACCATGGTAACCAGAAATGAGGTTTTATTGCCAAAATTAAAAAAAAAAAAAAAAAAAAAAAAAAAAAAAAAAAAAAAATGTCGCTAATCGAAGGGACACCCAATTCTACACTAGAGCAAAAAATGATAAAAGCCAAAAATGGTTATTATAAATTATCGTCATTATTAATTATCATTATAAACGGATAAATTACAGATGATTTATGTAAGATATTAATGTGCTTTGAAAGTATGGAATAAAACGGTTAGAAACAATACATAAAATTACTTTTTCACATAACCACAATTCATTAAGGACTGGCATTCAACCTCTAACAGCATATCACATGCCCAGCTAAACTGTTCTTCAAATATTCAAGCTCGAAGCAAAAACGTGTATGTCCATTTTGGCTATACTTTTCCATTGTAGCAGTTTTTCTGCCATTAGAAGGTACTTAGTCGACTTGGGCTTCACCACTACTAAAGCTGAAAGTGGCTGTCATTATATTGTAAAAGCACCTAATACATGAGCCTTTGTTACATTCTACAAAAAGACGGACAATTTCAGCTATGCCCTTCTCGGGGAATCGAACCCGACCATTCGGTATCGCAGTAGACTCCCCCGCACACTATACCGTCTGTGCGGCTCCATTACAGCAGTTATAAGTTCATTCCTTACGTTTTGCTTTGCATTTTATAAAGGACAATACCTTAAAGTGTTTTAACTGTAAACAAATATATTTAATTACTTTTACTGTTTTATAAATTTTGTTGTGAACAATATTTTTCAACAATTTTCCCATATTTTTGCATAAAAAATTAAAGAGTTCAAAATTTATCTTTTTTAAGCTTAGCACAATTTGCACTTTCTTACATTTAAAATGTGAATATGCATGATGTATTTAATTTAATGATTCCAGTTTAAAAAATTGTTGCTTGCGCCTACATTTTACATTTCGAAATTATTTTTCATATTTTGTTTTTGAAGTCCAAAACATTGTCGGAGTCGGAGTTATGAGAAGGCTAAGTCATTTACTCAATTAAAAATTAAAATTTTTAGACATTCTATATTTTTTATAAACGTTGTATGTGGAATTCAGCCATCCCCCTTGACTAAGAAAGGATTCAAGAGAGTAACATTCCGTTCCAAGTTTTATCTTATTAGATTCAGCTATTTAGCGTGAAATTTTCAAACTGTTTTATTTGTTCTTATTTTTTTAATAAAATTTTATTTAGTATTTTTGGTAATATTTACAATTCTTGATTTGCTTTTTATGCATAATTCCTGCAATTAGAAAGCTTGAAAAATTTTAATGCATGTTTGTAGAATCATTACCGTTTCATTAATACTGAAATTGCACTTAATTACAGATTTTTGGAATAACTAAATTGGTCTTAGTTATTTATTGAATTGGCTTAAATTTCTTTTATTATACATAGTATGTTACCGTAAAATACCGAAATTGGAGAATGTCGACATTCTCCAAATACGTACGAGAAAGACCGAATTTTTGGTTATATGTTTATATATTCGGACAAGATTGTATAATGCAGTCACATAATTAAGTAAGTTTATTATTGGTGTTATTTTGTTTCTTCATTCAGAATGGGATGTTCGTTTTATATTCAACAGTTTATTTACATACATTGTTACTTTCTCCTACTTTGGCATACAAGGTGTGGCACAAAAATAAACGAGACTGGTCCAATAAATCATTGTACTCACAGAATCAGCTCTCCGTGACATTATCACCTTCAAAGTAGTTACAAAACTTCAAAGTAGCATTCACACACTTCTTCATTCGATACTGACATTCCTGGTAACAGTTCTGGATCGAGGTTTTTGGAAGGCCCTTCAAGAGATTCTCCGTTTTTGCCTGAACTGAGGTAAAATGGGTTCCTTTTAAATAAGATTTAACTTTAGGAAAAAAAGAGTCGCATGGAGCAATATCAGGTGAATAAGGCGGATGCCCCATCACAGTAATGGTTTTGCTGGTCAGAAACAGCTTGACAGATAGGGCCGTGAGAGCGAGTGCATTGTCCTATTGCATCAGCCAACAATCACTCCACAACTGTGGCCTTTTTTTCCCTAATTTTTTCGCGAAGTCCTTTTAGTACTTAAGTGCAGTAATATTTATTAACAGTCTGGAACTAAACAGTCTAAGGCACCTATTCAATCATTATGAAAGTGTTGAGGGGCGCCCAGTACGTTCAACCTCTTCCACATAGTCGCTTCCCCCTGAAAACCGCTTATGCAGTTCAAACACACGTGTGTGAGACAAAGTCTCATTTCCATAAGCCTCGGTTAACATTTGAAAGGTTTCCTTTGTGATTGATTTCTTAAATTTCACAAGAAACTTGATGTTGATTTGCTGTTTGGTTTTTTACATTATGTTCTGGCATTCTGCGGGCAGAATGCACGTGTTCATTCGATGACGCAGTACTCCCCATTGGCGTGGTCGGTTAAGTCGAAACTTGTCACATGGATAAAGGAGATGTCTCACATGACGTCACCAAAATAGTTGTTGCCAATTCCACTCCTTTTTTAAGCTACGTACTTACTCTCTTTTATTTTTGTGTCACACCTCGTATATCATAATTTGCTTTAATAATAAAGTATAATTTTAAAACATAGCAAATATATTTTTATTCAACATTCACCATCAGTGCGTGGCAAATGTCGATATTTGTTGGTGTGAGAAATAAGAATATTTAGCAAATGTTTCGGACATACACCCAACCGACCCTGAGAATGTTGACATTCACCAGAAAATGGGGACATTCTTCAAATGCCGGTCTTAAACAGTAACACATATATATTCCTTACGAAATATTATCAGTAATATTCACTGATGGCCATCCTACATCAAGAAGGAAAGCAAGTAGAAGAGTCTTATTCCTTGTACATAACTGGTCATTGCTTGAGTTGGCCTCCGACCAGGATGTTAGTGATACTGTGGTTAGAAGCCAACTCCTCGGTAGATATAAGCCTATGACAGTGAAATAAGTTATGCTAAATCGACAGCATACAGCTTAGAAAATAATTAATGATGGCAGGCCACTTTGATTTACAGAAGACTTAAGCACACCCATCGCTTTGAGCAATCAGAGAAAGACACAATTTTAGCAGCATTCTTTGACCAAACTTAAATTGGAGTTAGTGCGTAAACTAATGTAGGAAGGCATATCATCTAAACATATGAGTTGTTGATTGAAACATATGAGCTGAAGAATTAGTCAAGTTGAACATGTTCATATCAATACAGAATTATGTATGAAATTTAACTTGATTAACAAGATTACATATGGAAGGGGAGAGTGTCGCTGTGCTTTTACTGCTGTGTAAAATTTACGTTGTGGATATATTTGGGACAGATGTCATTATTAAAATTTCAGGTAGTTCGGGTACACATCATGCATTTTAAGAGGCGCTACTTCTGGCTATAACAACGGAAGCCGTTGTTATAGGCAGAGGTCTCGCGGCAATCCATTACCAGATTGTCTCAATAGGTGGCACATCTGGAGATCCGAGAATGAACTAGGGCAACAATCGAACATCCTCTGTATCGAGGAAGATGAGTACAACATGGTCAACTTGCGATTCTGCATTATCTTATTGAAAGATGGCGTAACATAGCCTTGAAATTAGGGAACCGCCATGTGTCTGAACATGTATTAAGTGCAAGGACCGTTATCTACAATGCATTATTGGCTATAAGATCAAGAGATGACTTTTATGCGTTCTCAATGGTTGACAGGTAAAACCGAGATTCGCCTGAAAAGACGACGTGGTGCCACTCTCTTAGCCAGTTCGTTTTTCGTCGCACCACTGTAGGCGCACCTGTTTCTGCTGCAGCGTCAAGGGAAGTAGAATAAACGGTCGGTGTGCTGATAATCCGTGATACTGCAGACGTACTCTCCGGAATCCGGAACAATATGTGCGGCAATATCGCTCAATGGTAAACCACAGTCTCTATAGACCACGATGCTGGCCGCTTTTAAAATCCGATACGTACTAGCAGGAATTTTTGCTACTTACATAAGGCATAACACGACCTACACAATAACAACCAATGTTCAAATGCCATTTCCATTTAAGAAACCTGCTATGCAGATTTCTCATTCATACACAATATATGGCGGCATTCATGCTTGTTTTGTGCGCATGCGTTGCAATGCTAAACTTTTGCGTATCTTCATATGTAAATACTTTCATGAAAACCTGGCATTTGCTGTATGACGTCTTCAGGATGTTAGCTATGCTAATGGCTAGCCACATATATAAGAAGATTACACGATAATTCTGCAGTTTCCAAAATAATGACCAATTTTCAGCTCTTTTGCAATATATTTTTTTCAAAACATCTGCACATAATCTAGCATTTTCAAGCATTTGACATCCGAAGTATCATGAGATACTTATCAACAGTAAAACCAATCTTTTAATACATTTCATTTTGTTGTCTATCAATAAATAGCTTAATAAATTGTAAGCCCTTTTATAGCACTATCAATTACTAATTAAGTCATACAAATTAAGTCTGCATATTTTGAATATTTTCCCTTCCGTAA